AACAACTCAGTTCGCCCCTCCCAAGCTCGGCAGGCCTCTGAGTGATCTCACACACTTACGTGGGGAAGGCAGATGCGCTGCCGACGAGCGCTGCGATAGCCAGCAGCCATGCCAGTGACGACTGCATCCCTACTGCCTCGGTACAAGCGATGCGAGATCTCCCTCTGTGCGGCGGTAGACAGGCAGCAATGAGTCCAAGGCCTTCAGCAAAGGGATGGATTGATGGGAGTGATGGGACTTCACTGTCGACGGGAGATCTGCGCCATCTCCTACCGATCACCTCGACCGAACCTAAACCCTAAACCCACAGCAGATCAAGAGAGACGGACCCCTCTTTTTGTCTCCTGCAACTCTCTCCCTCCCTCATTGTTCACTGGCCCCTTCTCTACATCTCGTTGAAGCTGGCTCAATCTGCTGCAGTGCTGTACAGTCCGTGAGAGTTGACTGCAATGGCGCTCAAGAGCTTGGTATTGGTATTTGCCTTGCTCGCCTCCGCCCATGGCCAAGGTACGCGTAGAAGGCCGGACGTATCGCACACAGGAGGGCGTCACGCACCTGCAGTGCAGGGTACATAGATCTGCTGTATCGTCGTCTGTGTGTGTTGTTGCGTGCGTGTGTGTGTGTCTGGCTGGCAGGGACGGAAACGAACTTGCTGAGTCAGGCGCGTCGTCGCACAAGGCACAAGGTGAGGTCAGAGCAGATACGCACGCACAAGACGACACGCCTTGATTCGCACACTGCGTGTGTGTGTGTGTGTCTGTGTGGTGCCTGCCAATTGACTGACCATGTGCAGCGATCGGCAGCATCTGCTCGACGGCTATGGAGTACCTGAGCAAGAGCATCAGAATTCCGACTGGACTCGATATCGACTGCGGATCGGTGAACGACGCCGCTCAGGGAGTCCAGGATGCTGCTGACGACGCTGCTCAGGGGCTCCAGGATGCTGGTGAAGGAGCGGCTCAGGGGGTCCAGGATGCTGCTGACGACGCCGCTCAGGGGGTCCAGGAAGGGGGGGAGGCAGTGGTTGAGACCGTTGGTGGTTGGTTTCGGAGGCTGGTTCCCGTTCCTGTCGCGGATACATGCGGTAAGCGGGGCTGAAACAGGCCAGGCCAGACAGGGCGGCGAGTATGGAATGCGGGCGACTGTCGGCTCTGGCTGTGTGTACGAAGTGCCCAAGGGTGCGTCGATCAAGTGGGACGAAAAGACTCTCAGTTCGATGATTGGTGGCGATGTGACGAGCACACTCGAGGCGAGCTGCGAGTGCTTCGAGTTGGCCGACAAGATTCTGCAAGAGGGGCTGCAGAACTCCTTCGAAAGCGTCGACTACAACGAGGCGGTCTCTGCCGCTCTCACGGTGGGCACATGAATGGAGGCGAGAAAGAGTGATAGCGCTTCTGCATTCGCCTCTCCCTCTGTCTTGTGTGTGTGTGTGTGTGTGTGTGTGTGCAGTCGGGTCTCAAGGTGCAGAACTGTCTGATCGACCTGGGGTTGAACGTGCAGGAGCCGGACAAGGACAATGTCCTGGCTGAGATCCGAGACGGTCGCGGTGCTTCACTGTATCGCGTCACCGAGCTGGAGGAGATCGACTTGGCATTCTACCAGAAGGTGTGTGAAGCCACTGATATCACTCAAGTGACGCGTGTCCTGTCAGAGAGGATGTTTGTGTGTATGTGTGCGCAGATCGTTGGGCTCGGTGCTGCCTGCGTAGCCACGGGCTCCACATGTGACCAACTGATCAACGAATTCCGCCTCTACCTGGTAAGCACACAAGACTTTCACACGCGATACGGCCACACAGAGACACACACACGCTGCTTTACATGTGCTGCATTGCAGGAGAATTCTGCTGACCGATTGGCTGATGAGTTTGTGGCTCTCAAAGACGACATCGTCGATCGGATCAACACTGTCACGTCAGCTGTGACCGATCGCATGAATGTCCTCGAGAGGGTCCCCCAGCTCCTTCGCAAGACCCGTGCAGACCTTGAAGCATGTGCCAGCGAGACCCAAAGCAGTGTAGAGCAGTCCTCCATCGCCCAGCTGGACGAGATGGCGGCCAAGATCGAGAGACTGACGACACTCATGGACACCGTCCCTGCAGTTCTGGACGCGCTGCAGGCCGCCGAGGACTTTTACAAGCTGATGAACTATCGGGAGACTATTGCTGAAGCCATTTCAAGCGGCCGGGCGCCCGACCTGCCGTCGATGGTGGAGGGGCTGAAGGGAGGCACCAAAGTACGTGGGTGTGTGCCACACTCGAGACACAGTTGGGTTTAAGTCGGTGCGTGTGGGCTGTGCTTGGTCTGTCCGGTAGGTGGCTGGGGCGTTTGAACAAGTCGAGACGCTGTTTGCGGACTTCGACGACGTCTTGTTTGACGTGACCCTCCTCGAGTCAATTCCCGAGAATCAGATGCCAAGCGGCCTGGAGGACTGCATGCGTCGTCGAGGGGAGAACGCCTTCATGGACCTGGACACGGCCTCTCTTGCCATGCCTGACCTCCGAGAAATGATCGACAATGTAATTGTCACAAATTTGGAAGTGCGAGGCGGCGTGGCCAGCTACTCCAGGTGTGCACGGCTCACACACACACACTCTCTTACGACATGACATGTCTGTGTCTGACTGGTGTGTGGCGTACATAGGTTCATCGATATCAGTGTGCCGATGCCGTGCTCGCGGATGGAGGACAAGTGCTTCGAGGTCAAGGAGATCGGCTTCAAGCAATGTGGTAGGTGACCTAGCATAGGCCAACAAACGCTGCATGCACCAGCAGTCAGCATATGCATTTGTACGTGTGGCTTCCTTTCCTTCTCTGCAACAATCAGTGGACTGGCCTGAGTTCTATGAGTGCACGTATGAGAAGGAGGTGCCATTGCCGAACCACCACATCCCCTGGGTCGGCTTTTACCTCTACGGGAGGTCGTGAGCAGAAAAGTGACCAGGCAGGTGAGTATATAATGCAGACAGGACGCAGACAGGTTGTGTGCGCTCTGAGTGGATATACACGCATTCATTGATGATGTGCGCTGGTATGTGCTGTCATTCGCTTTCGTGTGCAGGCCTTCTCAGGTTTTGCTTAAAGCTTAGCACGACTTTGCTGATGATCACGCTTGTGCCTGTACGGTGTTGTACCATTCATGCTGCAACGACAGAGTGTGCATCGAGAAATGGAATCACTCGTCGTTACGTGTGCATGTATGTGTGTAGAAACATGTATGTGTACGTACGTGTACATGTATGTGTACATATGTGTGTGTACATCTGTCCGTATGTACGTATGTGTGTACGTATCCGTGTATCGATGGCTGTATGCATGGTTTTTTTCTTTGTGAAACGCACAGCTGCTCCAGAGAGACAAGCAGGCAGGCAGGCAGGCAAACAGGCAGCGTTTTGCAATCAGCAAAAGAGCAGGCCACGTGTGCGTAAGTGCTCGCCTGCCTGCCTTGCAGCAATGAGCTAGCTCCAACTCTGGACAGCCAGATCTACTGTAGGTATGTAGGCCATTCGTGTATGTGAACACGTAGGTAGACACGTAGATAGGGAAGGGCAATGCAAATGCCGCCCCATCCATCCTTCCTTCATGTGGCATTTCACCTGTTTGTTGTGTCTCTGGTTTTCTGGGTGTCTATTTGTATGTCAGTTTGCATGTTGGTCTTCCAGTCTGATTGTCAGTCAGTCAGTCAATCAGTCAGTCAGTCTGTCCTTCCGCTCGTCCGTGAGTGGACGGGTGGGTGGACAAGTGACTATGCATATGTACACCAAGTAGCTGGCAGGCAGGCTGATTGGATGTGCGTGTATTCTCGCCTGCCTGCCAGCGTGCCTTCCTCCCTCGCAGCAATGAGCGGGATCTAGCTGAGGACAGCCAGACTGTAGGCATGTGGGCCATACATGTACGTGATCGTGTCGGTAGACACGTACACAGAGAATGAGGGCAGCGTATGTGGATGGATGGATGGATCCACGTGGATCCATCCATCCATCCTTCATGTGGCATTTCACCTGTTTGTTGTGTCTCTGGTGGTTTTCTGGGTGTCTATTTGGTGTCAGTTTGTATGTCATTTTCACTCCCTGTCTTTTTGTCCGGCAGTCTGTCTGTCTGTCTGTCCTTTCGCTCGTCCGTGAGTGAATGGGTGGGTGGACAAGTGACGATGTACACCAAGTAGCTGGCTGGCTGATTGCGTGTGTACGTGTGCTTTGACATAAACGCGGGGCAGGCCGGTGGCCATTCCATCAGTATGTGGGGTGATGTGTGGTTTGCTGTCCATGTGTGTTGTCGGCCCTTCTCCTTTTTGCATCGCCAGATTCATCACATGGATGGGGGTGCGTGGGCGATACACCTGGTGGGTCGTTGGTTTTGACGGGCATTTTCATGCGTGGACAATCGAATGAAAGAGGGGGAATGCCGCCAGAGAGATACATGTACATGAACCAAAGGAACGACCAGACGGTGTTGTTTCGGTCTTTGATGGATGTCGTTGATCCATTCTGACAAATGAGATACACTTGCTACGAACGAATTAAACCGAATGACACACAGCGGCTGAAGGAGTGCCGAAAAAACGGATGCGTGTCTGCCTGCATCCACGACACACATGTGACCGACATAACTGATTCCTCTCTGAGTGACTGACTGACAGACTGACTAACCGCAGCACCCACTACACACACAGGCACATACGCACGAGTGTGGGCAATCGCAGACCTCACAGACGGTTCCTGGCACACACGGGTGAGTATCGAAACGATAAAAAAAAGTACTCGAACACGGCGCTGTCTTGCAAAACGCGATCGCCGAACCAGGCGATGTCAGCAGGCCCGGGCCACACACTGGCACCTGACGAAAAAGACAGACGACACATGTGGACAGCAAAGCGCGCACACAGAGACAGACATACAGCCAGGATGACTGACGAATCCAAACCAAGCCAACAAACAGCCTTCTGCCTGCCTGTCGGCCTGCCCGTCTCCCTGCACACACACCTAGAGCTGATTGCCCTCTGTGTCGGTCGATTCAAGGAGTGCCAAAAAACCAATGCGTGTCTGCCTGCATCCCTCACACAAACATGTGATCGACGTTGCTGACCCCTTTCTGTCTCACTGACTGACTGCAGCACCACACACATCAAGCTGTACACCACTCCCCGTGTGTGCGTGTGTGTGGCCGAAAAGCAATACCACCACGCCCACACAGCTCAGCCAGGGGCCGCCACACACACACACAGACACACAGCACACCAGCCATCCCTCCATCACCCACACACCAATTCAAGCCCCGACCGATGCACGCAGGCAGGCAGGCAGGCACACAAAAAAGGTGATCGAAGAAATATGAGGCAGTACACATAGAGGAAAGGAGAGGAGAGAAGCGAGACGAGAACACACGTCACTCACGGACACGGACACGGACAAGAGCATCCCCCCTCTCTCCTGTTCTGTTTGCTGCGCTCACCTCGGAGCGAAACGCCCCGGACGGAGTCAGCGAGCGACTCGTCCATCTGGTCCTCCTGATCGCTTCTCGAGCTGTTGTCGCGTCGCCTGTTGACCACCACTGGCTGGATGCGCGCTGGCTGTATGGGCGAGAGGGTGGGCGGATTCTGAGGGACACGAGGGGTGTCGGCATCACCAGTGTCGCTGTCGTATGCGTCATTCTCGGCGTCGGCGAATGCGTCACCGTCGGGCTCGCAGCCGATATCTCTGGGCGGGTCGAGGGGATACCGCACACACTCAGGGTAGTAGTCGCTGCACGCCACCGGCCAGTTGCACGTGTGGTCTGGCACACCCACCGCCACCGTGCCCACATCCTGCCACCGATCGGGGTTGCCGCAGTCCTTCAGGCAGTGGCAGACAGTGTAGTTCTTGGCCGTCTTGGAGACAATCTTCAGGTCGGCCCACTCCTGCCTGTAGATGAGCGCCGTGGTGGGCGAGGTGTGGCACTCGGTGGCGCCATCGCAGTCGATGCCGCCCTTGACGTCTGCCGACGCCGTGGCCCTGCCGCAGGTGGGCGGGTCGACACCTGAGGCGTTCTCGGGGGCATTGATGATCTTGAGGCGCGAGGCGATCTCGTGCTCATCGGTGGTCTGCTTGGGGAGGGCCCAGCCGGGCAGCAGCAGGGAGAACACACGGCCGGACTGCACAGTGGCCAGACCGTCACGGTGGAGACCTGCAGAACCGACCGAAATCCAATGAGTGATATTGTGTGTATGGCGTGCAGCCTGTTTGTGGTGTGGTGCTGCCGGTCACCTGAGACGGAGATTTCACCGACGTCTCTCCACTGCTTGGCCAGCTCGCAGTCGCTGAAGCAGTGGCAAATCTCGTACATGCCCGGCGTGTCGATCACGACATTCTTCCAGGTCTGAACCACATACACACCATCCATCATCCAATGTCCGTGCGCACAGACCCACCTGATAGACCGCCTGCGTGTCTCCATTAGCGTCCATCTCGGTGATAACAAGCTGTTCCGGCGCCACCTCCAGCCCCAGCCCCTCCACCTCGTTGTCGGCATCGTAATCCAGGCAGCTGCGCTCCGCGAGGGTCACGTTGCGGCGCATCAGACGCACCCTTGACGAGTACATGAAGGCGGAGGCGGTGATACTGCTGACGGCGATGTTGAGGTCGAATGGGCGGTGTGCCTCCTCGTAGAGGTTCTTGAAGCGGTCTGTCTCGGGGAAGTAGAAGACGCCCCACTCGCCCGGTGTGGTGGCGACCTTCATACCGTAGAAGTGGCGGGGCAGCTCCAGACGCTCGAAGCGCATGTCCCTTGAAGCGTTCGTCTTTGGTCGGCGGGGACCATCACCGTCGTCGTCCTTGGTCAGCATACGCGCACACTGAATCTCAGTCGTCTGCATTCACACACGATGATGTCCCACACAAAGGCATGATCTCGCCTGTTGTCAGTCTGTCTGTGTGCCCCTCCCTCTCTGTCACTCACCTTGGGGAAGAAGAGCTGCACTTCTGGTCTGCAGGGGCGCTGGATGCGGGTGAGGCCTTCATCGCCCACGTCGTCCTGCTCAGGCTCGGAGTCCTCGTCGCACGTGAGCTTGAGGGTGGTGGACTCGTCGTCGTCGAACATCCTCATCTCCTCCTCGACTTTCTCGGTCTCGACCACCTCGTTGTCCTCGTCTGCCGACGGGGCGGTGGTGGGGACGCTCTCGTCGTCAGTGTCGTTGCCGCGGCTCCTGTCGCGGTTTCTGCTTCTGCGGCCGCTCAGGATGCTCTGGATGGACATGCTGGTAAAGATCTGAGCAGAACTAACGTTGATGCGGTCATTGCACTCGGCATCGTGGAACAACCTGACAGACGAGGCCAAGAGAACGTGCCAGGATGGCTGAGACAGTTGTTTGTGCGCGATATCCGTACTGTATCTCTGCGATAGTGATAGGGTCCCGGTCTTCGGCCTTGAACCGCCAGCGGTAACTCGCTGAACGAAACAACGGACACACAGGCAGGTGCGCACGTGTAAACATGTCCCATCTCTCCGCCCACCCCACCCACATCTTTCTTGGCTTACAGAATACTTCCTCGGCATCGGTTTCGCACAGGTAGGGGAGTTTCTGGGTGCATGGCCAGTCCCTGATGGCGCCGTCGGCACCGTACATCCACACGCAGTTGGCGCCGCACTCGGGGGCGCTGTTGTCGTCGGCACACTCGCCGTCGCTGCGTTTGGGCAGGTTGTTGGGCTCGTAATTCTGTCCGCGGTGGACGGCCCAATCGATGGCCCACATGTTCTCAGCGGCCGTCATGTTGGTGTTGGTCCACTGAAAGCTTCCCTCCTTGGCACGGTCGTTGAGACCGATCCTGACCGACCGACCCAACGCATACACGCGTGTTCACACCACTCACCTACACCTGAGTGTCTGGTGCGTGTGTGGCAACCGTGTAGCATCGTACCAGCAGGCGCGGTCATCGTTGGACGTTGTGCGATTGAAGCAGAGAAGCTGCGAAGACCAAAAGAGCACGCACACCCCTCCGTCCACCATACACGTCTCCTCTCTCATGGGTGCGTGTATGGTGCCTGCCCGCCTCACTGAGCTCACCTTGAGAACCTCGTTGGCGCCAACGCTGCCGATGGTGGCAAGGTGGCCTCCCTTGTCCTGGCACTGCTGTTCGGCCTGCTCCCAGCCCAGCGGAGAGGTGAACTTGGCAAAACACCTCCCCCCGTACCAGAAAAAGCCTTTCGGGCACGAAGACCTGCACACCACACGAACAACTCAGTTCGCCCCTCCCAAGCTCGGCAGGCCTCTGAGTGATCTCACACACTTACGTGGGGAAGGCAGATGCGCTGCCGACGAGCGCTGCGATAGCCAGCAGCCATGCCAGTGACGACTGCATCC